AACTACATTTTGAGACATCTGAATCCATTCCACATCCTCGTGCTACCCGCTCAGTCCATCTTATACTTCCGGTTTTAGGATAGAATTTTTAAGCCCGTAATTATGCAATTTTGTCATCGAACTGAAAACAAAGCGCGGGGCCCCCCCCAAAAAAATACTCTAAGTAAATTTGTTCATTAACTGTCGGTGCTCGTGACGTGTCTGATAGTAACGGACCGCTATGCTAGTCTTACCGACTGGTCTGGCCGCTCGCCTGAAGGGCAGACTTCATAAGTCTCTCGCGATAAACGCGTTACTTAAGCCCGTCTGTGCAGAAATTCAAGCTCTCTTCCGTGAAGTGTCTCCGCTGAGGACCCTCCTCAACCTCTCAGCGCAGAGAGCGGCCCCGAGTGTCTTCGCCGGTCTTTTGAGTGAAGTGTTATCAGCACTCCACGATGATTTTGTCGGTGAAGTCAATTAACTTCGCCGAGGACGCGAGAGAGGAGAGACGTGTGCGTGGGAGGACGTACGACGCAACCTGAACCTCGATCGGAAACAAATAACCGGAAACATTTTTGAATAGGTCGTCGGTTGTCGTCGAAAGCGAAGTAAAAGTGTAGATAGACTAGATTAATATTGCTTATACGCGTCAAAATTTGTTATATACGCACTAGGTTTATGTCTTGGAAGTACCGCAGAATTCAGTGTGGGCGATGGGGCGTGGCCGCCAGGTATCGGGGGCATTATGACTTTGAAACATCGAAATGGGTTCCGAATAAATCCTGCACGCTCATTGGGGTCTACGCGAGCGAATTTAATTCTGATGTTGAGTTTCCCTTTTCTTCAGCCATTGCGACAAATATACACGCAAAATCAGAACGTGTAAGCGATTTCTTTCGGGTCCAGGAACGCATTTATTAAACGTCTGTAATTACATTTTGAGTTCATGACTATGACGACATCTGCTTGATGTCTGACTGATGATGACAAATTCTGATCTTATGTGTTCCTACAAGTGCACAGGAAGTGCGCATGCGCGTGGTGGTCTTGATTCTTTTACTCATGCCATTTAGGTTCTTTGTTGATGGAAGGTAAAAAGTACAGGCACGCGGACTCAGCGGCTAAAAGTGCGTCTGTCGGCGACGATCAAAGGCGACGAGCCGCGTGTTATTGGGAGCCACATTCCGGGCTCATCGGTTTTCAGATTGGCTCTTTAATATTCGATACTGTCCACAAACAGCTGCTTCAATTGGCGATTTCTGCCCCCCCCCCAATGTTCTCATCAAAATAAACCATGAAATAGCATAGCATATGACGATGTTCAGTAAGAAAGGATTGGTTTAAACTGATCTCCTATTGACATTTGCAATGTACTAAATGTTTTATGCTTTCGACGATTACAGAGTATCAAAACTGTTGCAAATAGATCGCTTTTGCACTGTAAACGCCGGTTATAGTCGACTAACGATGTTATCGAAAACGGAGGAACTGAGAAAAATTTTGCAAATCAGATTGTATAGTCTTGTAGTTTGTGAGACTCTGGTCTTCGGAGAAACCTGCTTTCTCCGTCTTCGTGGTAGGGATTTCTCAATCTTCAGGGTACTTTACCGACAAAGCATTGTTTTTCTGTAGGGAAGCCAATCGATATGAACTTTTAAATCGATGTCGGAGGTGGTCGTATAAATATCGAATCGCTGTATCGGGTTATAAAGACTTTTCGTTCTCCAGCACCTAATTAATTAACTTATCTCACACGTCATATTTTTTTCATTGTTTTTTAGTCAGGTGGAGGGTCATTACGAGGAACAGCGTTGTTCGCACCGGAACTTAAAAGTTTTTTGGACGTGGATTTCATCTGCTCCCTGGTTTAGACATCACGCGAAGCAAGTACCATCTGCAACGTTGCCTGAAGTAACAAAATTATCGACAGGCTAAATTTATATCGATATCTAATATATGTTTACGATATCGAGTCGTATCGATTTATCGATATCAATTGACATCCCTGTCTTTTCGAGAGTTATATATTCTATTATAAGCACTTGGGGCCTGCAATAATATATTAATTAAACTTGCGTTCCTATGCCATATTCAGTTATGAGCAAACACTGTGACGGCGTCCTGAAGAAGGCAGACTTACGTGACTGTAGATCTTTTGGAAAACGGTAGCTTGGTAAGACCTAGTTCCTGATACGAGCAGTGCTGAACCTTCGGGTTCCGCCGCTCAGCCAATTGTATAATTAAAGTTGAAACCCACGCGTGAGAGGGAGACTGGGGCTCGCTCTCGACACATTCAAGAGGGTCCGGGTGTTTAGTCTGTTCGAGGACTGGACTCCAGTGACCCGGAGCACAGGCAGTTTTATGAGTCCTGCTTTCGACCATTCACGGTGCTTCGTATAGGTGGGGGTACGTGAGTACCAGGCGATGAGTGGAGTTAGAGCTCCTTGCGTTCTTAACCCACCCCCGATATTAAGAGGCGTCCGTTTGTCCTAGCTAAGTGACTGCGTGTTCTTGTTCAGAAGCTGATGTAAGCTCAGCTGGTCAGATTATGCAACGTGGCCACCTGTTTCTTTAAGATCCATTTTGGTTTCCTGTCATCTATTTTTATGTCTTTCAAGAGGTCTCTTCCCTTCGTGTTTTTTTACCAAAATTATGTACACATTTCTAATTTATCGCGTTTACCTCATCCTCCTAGATTTGATCGCCCTAATGAATTTTCCTGAAGAGTACAGACTATGAAGCTCCCTGTTACGTGATTTTCTCCATTCGCTGTTACTACCTCGCTCGTAGTACAAATGTTCCCCGCGGCGCTGTGTTTTAAGGGCCTTGGGGCATGGCAGAAAGTTCCATATCGTAAATGAGCTGTTCGGTGCGGTTCATTGCGGGTTTAAGTAAGTTCAACTTGGCGATCAGCCGTCTGGGAATAGAGTTACATTCCGAAATAGAACTGGATCCACCGATTATGGCCGCTGGCCTTGTAGGGAGAGCCCAGTATGCGGACCACTCAATGAAGGAAGGAAGGAGTTTCCGTCGGTTAGCACAGTCTGTGTCGGTGCAGCGGTGTAGAAGCCTGATAATTGTTGTCTTGTGACGTCTTGACACTTATGGCCACAATTCTCCACACCTAGTCACGCCTAGTCACACTTTGTCACTAATATTTATAATTGAAGATAATGAAGTGGACAGCGACAGCGGTGGTGAATTTGGAGAATTTGAAGAGGACCGAAGAGTCTGTTTTGTTGATTATCTAGTGGTCTGTAGTGTAGTGAAATCGACTTTCCTGTTTTACATACCGTGGTGATATTTTATTTGGAGTGTACTGTACGCGGCCTGCTGCCTTCCCTTTCAGCAAACTTCTGGTAAGTAACTCGCTCCGAGGTTCAAATTCACAAAGTTCAGTGGCCAAAAACGCCGGATCGCAGTATATCCCGATGATGGAAGCAGATGCAGTCTCGAACGTCAAATTACCATTTCATTCTCACGCGTCTGAGCCCCTGACTGGACTTCACGACTGTCGAAGCTAGCGTGATGGTTTTGTGCTTCGGATAAATATGCTGCCTCCATTTTCAGGGCTGGTTTAGGATAGGGTGCAGTATCGAGCTCTTATGAACAAGCGACTTAACTTTCGGGCTCCATAGAAGCCTATAAATTCCTTGAACAGCTGAGCGACCATAATCTTTTCAAGAATATTCTGCTCCATGCAGTATGTTCATTCTACACAGCGTAAAACCAGAAAAGCTGAAATCGTCCCCCGCGTGCGTCTGGAAATGCCACCCCCTCCCCCCCCCACACACACTAGTCAAAGGGTAAACGTACATTTATAGCATCCATTGATAAATTGGGTTAAAAAGTTGCAAGCATTCATGGCAATTCTGTTTAAACTCATTTGGAAATGTTCTTTGAGTCC